GTTGGGTGCCCCTGACCCCGCTGCATTCAGACCTTTTTCAAATCCCCTGCGTCAATACTTTTGCTAAATGCGATCTCGACGAACTCAGGACAAAATAGAGGGTCTGTGGACTAGCGACTTTCCTCATAATTTTGTTGCAAGGCAAGTTTCACGAAAATCCAAAGGTGTAAAATCCCCTAAAACGGACATGTCTGGCAAAGCTTTTGTTGCAGTGTGCGTATAGAATCAAATTCTACTTTCAAATTCTACTTTTCGCAATGATTTTGCGAGATTTTCGTTTCAGGGATGCTGCACCGCTAACCAGCGTCTCGCGCATTTTGTCTCCCACTGAAATTGAGAGGCAAGTTAAAACAAAAATTACCAAGGGTACTATAAAATTATCGTGTTGTGCGTTTAACTAAAACGAAATGTAATAAACAAATAACAAATGTCCTTTATGGCGTGCGACATGACATAGCACGGGTTATAACAATGTACATTATGTGCTCTAAACACGCGCGTACAGATCTATCAAGAAAAAAAAAAAAGCGGTGCATAAGCGTTAAAAACTGTTGAAATATGAATGTATCAAGAGACTAGGATTTTTTCCATAAATAAAATATAAATTAAGCCTTTTCCTTTGTGCTAAATTTGCCATTCTAGATAAATTAAAATTCTACTCCGAGGCTTGGGGGAACAAAACAAAACAAATCACATCGAAGTCGAGGGACGAATAATTAATTTCTTTTGTTTTATTCCCCCAAGCCTCGGAGCCCAACTTGGAATTTTAAGATATCGAAATTGGCCTATTCTCTTCACTTTTTCGTGCAAAATTCAAGTACTTAGTTGGTGAGAACCAAAAGTGTAATCATTGCAGTAAAACGTTCGGATCGAAAACTATATTCTTTCAATGGAATTATTTAAACTGAATGAAATTTAGGTGTTGACTGATGACTAAATCGGTTGACTTACCTCCGTATCTCAAACATTATGTAACTGGAGTTTCATTTTCCTCTGTTGCACTTAAAATAAATTAAGATATTTTTTCTCGAAAAGCTCAATTTCTTTGTCACTGCTCGTCCCAAACTCAATTCATGTCAAATTGCGCGATTCTTGATTCCGTTGTGTTACCTAAATTGAAACCTCTACACTACAAAGACTAACGTGTTGAGTGAAACTTGATGGAATAATAAACTTAGAGTTTGTGCTCTTAGAGCATCTTTCCAATTTTTACACATCCATTCTCTCGTCCTTATTTATAATAAAAGCTGGGTCCCAAACAAGTTGCTGTTTTGAATATGATTCAGTCTGAAGAACCAACTGAAGCGGTGGTATTTACCCAAGACGTTGCTAGGCAACTAATAACGTAAACGTATGATGTCAAGTTAAAGCAGCTAGTACTCTCAAGTACTGTGATTCGAGAATAAGGCTCGGAAGCTCATCTAGTATTGTTACGAAGATTTTCGAGCACGATACTTGGTTTTCCGTTTGATTTTGAATCTAAGTACGTGGTAGTCAAGTTATTCGACGCTGTCCAACCCTCTTGTCACGTGGCGCCTGTAGAAACAACTGGCTCCTCACAGAACATGTCATCTATCAGAGCGTAGCAGGGATTACACACTCTTACAAGTTGATAATAACCAAAGGCTGGAATTCTGAACAAAATAAAACATTATTTGCTTATCAAAATTGCTCTTCGATGTTCAAACTAACAGCGCGTGCGAGTGTCATAATATCACTGTAAGAAAGTTTGGAAAATGTGAACTCCCCAGTTTCCTGAGTGAAACCACCGAGGCAAAGAAGGAATCTCTACATGGAACTGAGGGTAGAACACCCATCTTCCCTAAATTCCTTTCTGTACTGCCCAACTGAAGCCAAGGAGGAGTTAATTTCAATTCCGGAGGGGGCTAAAATAAACGTGAGGGACGCCTGTCCGGTGTTACATGGCTCTAGTTGTTTGTCGTTATAATAACTTAGACTCTCTTATAGTCACCTCCCAGACAAGAACAATTTCTTGACTCATTTGCGGCTTCACAGACGCAAGGTAAAGATTTCTCTTTCGAACAGCAATGAATCAACTTACGGCGTTGACTGATCCGTGCAGTTGTGACAGAAAACACGACCGCAACATCGACAGTGATGGCGTCTTCTTGTCTGAAAAATAAAGAGGAAGATATGCAAAATTTAAGACTGATTCAATTGACCGGTCTGGCAGTCAACTAACCAACTAACCACTTACAACAACAGCCGAAATACTACAGACTGTTTACGATTCAAATCCCAGAGTTGATTTTAGGTATGCTTTGAGCACCAAGATTCGCTTTGAGAAATAGACTTAAAGTGATTCGGAAATGGCCTGTTTTCCGTAGTCTCATTGCATACAAAATGTCCAGTAAGGTGTGGAGAGGAACTGTTTCATCATGTTATATCAAGCAATTCAAAGGGTTTCAAACATCGCGCGCACATGTAGTACTCTTTTCTATTAAACAATTAAATTATGAACTCGAGGTTTCTATCGCGTAATAGTTGACGAGGGCGCAGCCCTCGTCAACTATCACGCATAGAAATTGAGAGCGAATAATCTAATTGTTTTAGTATAAATCTGCGAGTCGTTCAAAACTTTATCCAAATCCTCTTCACAGACACTTCGAAAACGCCAAGAAGCGGTCGTCATTTCGTTCATTTCGTTTCACAGAATACATAGTGAGTAGCGTAACCAATCAGAGAACGCGTCGTGATAGAACGCTAGTAGACTTATACTAGCAGCAATAAGCATAAATCTACAAGCGTTTCTACCACGAATGCCATTCTCTGATTGGCTACGCTTCTCACTATCTATTCTTTGCGTTTTCGAGGTGTCTGTGAAGAGGATTCAGATATCATCATCATCATCATCATCATCATCATCATCATCATCACAAACTTTATTTACCCCCGAATTTACAGAGTAGCATTGCTGCTAATAACGTTTTGAACGACTGACTAGTAGCTTTACACTAAAACCGCCCTAGTCAACTATCACGCGATAGACATCTCGAGCTCATAATCTTATTGTCAAATAGAAAACGGTAATAGAGCCAATCAAATTCACATATTCATATTAGACTTAATATTATATAATGCCAAACAAACCTGTGTGAAGGGTTCTCGAGCTCATAATCTTATTGTCAAATAGGAAACGGTAATAGAGCCAATCAAATTCACGTATTCATATAAGACTTAAATATTACATAATGCCAAACAAACCTGTGTGAAGGGTGCTCGACACTTGTTGTTGGAACAGTAGTTGACAAGCTGCAAGAAATATCTCAGCTGTTTTAGACCAACATCCTTAATCCCAGTATAAGAAATTTTTTACGATAACTGCAGAAATTCACGCGCGCTCATTGGCTAATTTTCATTGTAAATAAGCGGACAGACACATGAATTTATTATTTATGCGATACGTCAACGGGCGAGAGCGGACAATTTGACAATTTGTTATCGTAAAAAACAAAGTGACGTCAGTTTTTTGTGCGCCTGTCCTGTTGTTGACAATGAATTTCTTCATAACATTGTCAAGGTGGTCTACGGATCCACTCGGCTATCGCCTCGTGGACCCCCAGCTACTTTGACAATGTTAAGACGAAAACAGGACAGACGCATGAAAAACAGACGTCAATTTGTTAAAAAGACCTCTCAATACAGCACTTGGAATCACTTACCTCATCCGGGACCCACGATAATCTGAATGTATTCTGAAGATGGAGTACCTCGGCCCGGTCCCTCTCTGCTTGATTAAGCCGTGCGTTTGCCTGAGGAATGGAAACAAATTCTTTTAGAAGTTACCAAGAACGCAAGAACTATCAAACTAATTAGTTTATTGTGACAGAGCTCATTTAAAGGGGTGAGGGCCCTGGTACATCACAGGGGTACAACTTCTGTGGGTCCTTTTCAAGTTGTCTTTATCCTGTTAAATCTGTCTGACCTGCAAAAGATCTCATACGCAAACGATTTCTATACGCAAGAGTTCATTTGCAGATGGAAAGTTTCCCATCAGGCTCTGTTTCAAAACAGAGGCTTATGGTTACTCGAAAATACTTTAGGGGAGGGGGAGCAGGGATGCGCAGTGGTGAAAGCGCTCGCCTCCCACCAATGTGTCCCGGGTTCGATTCCCTGACCCGGCGTCATATGTGGGTTGAGTTTGTTGTTGGTTCTCTACTCTACTCCGAGAGGTTTTTCTCCGGGTACTCCGGTTTTCCCCTCTCCTCAAAAAACCAACATTTCCAAATTCCAGTTCGAACCTGGAATGCACGGACATTTCTGAACGAGTTCTTGTGAACTCCTTGGTGCTCCGTGGGTAAACAAATTACATATTTACATTTTTTTATTTACCTATTTTTTACTTGTCCTCCTTCGATTTCTCCGAACTGACCCAATTGTGAAACAAGGATTGTTGGTATAAACTAACCTCATGGATAGCTGCCTCCGTTTCTTGCCGAATTTTCGCCATTTTGTTGACAAACGTGGCTTCGCACTGTTGAAAGGAAGGCAAACTATAGGTGCCGTGGCAAATTGATCTAGTCCAAACAAACCTAGCGACTGCATATTTGATGTTAAACTGAAAAGCGAGTTTTTTCAAAAAAATTGATATTTTACCCGTTTAATAGCAATGTCCTTCTGTTCTCTCGCAATATCTATTTCCTGCTGCAATCTTGAGACCTCCTTTTCGTGCGCCTGAAAAATGGAAAAAATATGATAAGCATTAAATTTTATGGCCTTCTTCATTGTGCTTGTAACGTCGCTTGGTGTCCACTTGGTACTGGTGACATAGTTTCCCGCGTTTGCCAAAGGTTACATGTTTTCCCGCGCTTAGCGACGGCTGGTTGAAACCGTTTTTTGCGAGTACTGATTGGTTTATTGCGTCAATTGCGTTTGTTGCGATTAGCCAGCTCGTAATTATACTGTAGAATAGTTTGAACAAATAAAAACTTACCTCAGCTGCACTAGCTATAGACTGCATTAGTCTTTTACAGCGCTGTTCTGCGTCGTCTTTCTCCGCTTGACATTTTACCAATCTCTCCTTAAAACAGCGACAAGGAAAATAATTCATTTTAATAAATGAAGTTTTTGCTTGTACTCTTTGTAATAATCTACGAACATACTTTCTACACCTACTACTCCCCTTATAATACTGGGATTTTTTTCGGGGGGGAAAGGGGGTGGATGGAAGGGGCGGGTTAACTATGCCTGGATTTGAAACATCGCCACGGCTTCTTAAATAGTCAGCACGTAGCTCATTTGTCAGTCCCACATGTTCAACGGTCCCATAAATAGGGCTCCGAAGTTCACCAAAGATATCTCTGTTCAATAGCAAGAAAATGGAAAAACGAACCAGGTGAAAGTTCGTTTTTTCCTTTTCCAACTCTCTACACTCCCTCTGGTACATCTGTTCTCCTCCCATTTCATTTTGATGAGCGGGAGACTTCACATCATTTTGTACAGGGGATTTTGCACGTTCCTAAAAGAGCTGGACACAAACGAAGATGGTTTATTACCATTGGTAAACTGTAGAGAACTTGATCTGCCGGACTGAAACAGTGTTAATATTCATCCCCATAGAAAACCACAAACAAATTCCCGGCACTTTTCAAACATCAGGAACAAGAGTTCGTTATCTTGTAATTTACAAAAGTGTTTCAAAGTGTTTTACTTAAAAGTACCTCGAGTCTTGATGGGTTGACCATCACTGAAGGTAACAAATCCGGTCTGATAACTGGTTCAACGTCAGCTCTTGGAATGTTGGCTGATGGGGAACTGGTACCGAAAAGCCAGGTGCCTGGAACTAAAACAAAACAAAAAAAACACAGATGAAACACTGTTTAGGGGTCACTGCTAATCTGATGTGCAAAGAGAATGCTCAGGACCTCTGCTGAATTGCGGCCGTCCGTCTCGTACAAGTCGTAGCTTGTGGATACAGCTGGTTGTCAACGTTCTCGGCCGCTAGCTCACTATCAGGGAAAACCACTTCAAAAACAATGAAACCAAAGTGAGGGCTTGAGTAGCCGCTTTCTTGGAACAATAACAACAACCTTGGCTTACGAAGTTGTTCCAAGAACAAGCTCTCTCTGATCGTATGTCTTACTTTGCGCAGTGTGTCCCCAGGATCACACGTTATATTCGTGAAATATGTTGTCGGAGCGACAATAGCAACTCACCAGTGGTTTCAGATCTGAGTTCTTCACAGGAGTTGTGCTTACGGAGTCCCTGAAAAGAAATCGCAAAACAGACTTCAAAATAAAGCAATGTGCTGCTACTTGGAGAGGGTGTTGTGTCATGCATGGTTTCACGTCAAAACCTTATTGCCTATGGCAACGTGGACGTCTCGTCGCCAGATTTTGATTTCTCAATTTATTCCCCAGTCAGCACAATGGAAAATGCTTACTGCAGTTTGTCAGTGAACTGGCTGTAACTTTTCCTTCATTATCGTTAACCTGACAACACACTTATGGTCTGTAAAGGTTTACAGCCGCATAGCAGTCTGCACGCAATACGTGCCTATAACGCCCGCGTTCACCTAGCAACGGCGCAAAATGACGACCTTTCAACTCACCCTATCGAGGGATTTAGTCATATCTTGAACCCTTCTCATCAGCTCTGGTGTCTTTAAGGATCGTAGACTCTTTACCTCATTGCCTGTAGTTTAAACCAATCGGAAAGAAAAAGACGAAGTTGCTTGAGCCGTTGATGAAGACGTGGAAAAGGCCAAAAGCAACGTTTATCCAGCAATATCTAAGAATGGTTTTGATCTGCTTGAACATGATCCTCCAAAGAGTTTGCTAGGTCACTTGCTCATGTATTACCACGCGAACAAGACGGAGGAAGGCTGCTGTAGCCGTAACAATGACTTGACTTATCACTCTATAGTCTTGAATTATTTTCTGTACCCTGTAACTAACCTTTCGTCTTAGGACTGTCCGGCGGCATGTTTTCTGTGATATGTCTCACCACTGTAGCAACGTACAGCTTCAACATTGGATCCTTGGTCGGCAAACCTATAAAGAGAGGACCAATGTAGCATGTGCTGTGATTATGAACTTCTACGTTATCACGGCAATTCTAAGACAAGAGAAAATCAAGTTGATATAAAACTCGAGGAGTTAGAAAGTAGCTAATAAAAATTTAGATTAAGATTCAAGTACAGAGCGTCATACAAAAATAACAGTAAGCTTATAGA